CGCAATCATTCATCCTTATCATAACGAATAATGATTTATGAATAGATACAGCCGGAATTAAAGCTCCTAGATAGGGGTTGATAATGTTTCTTAGTTATTAGCAAAGTATTGTTCAAATACTTGGTATACTAGTGACCCTTCTCTAGAGGTACAAATCTGTGTCACTCACTGTTTCAATCACAGACACGATTAGCCTTAATCAGGACAGTAACGCTTGATCTGTAGTCACTAGGTAAATTTCATCAACAGAATTCCATCAGCAATAAGAACTAGATAATGTGACATTATTCAGTGCAAATATTTTTCTAACATCAATAACTTACGAACTGGTTAGTTGAAGAAAATTATCGATTAAATTTTGTAACTATTATTACTGATGTTCAATAAAAATGAACAGATTAACTCGATAAGAAAACTTTGTAAACGAAGCACATTAACCATTACAGGTTAAAACTTTATTGATTTTAAGCATAGAACCAATACTTTCTAGATTGTTTTCATTAGCAGGTGATCAATACAATGTTTTTACTAAGTATGTTTTGTATTTATTTTCAAATAACTGGTAAGATGTGTAGCTTTCAATACAATACACTAAAAGTGACAACTCACGCAATTTGATGACGTTATAGGTTTTTTGGTAGTTGTGCTTCGACTAACCTTAATGTCCAAACAGAAGGACTATCAGTTAAAATTCATATACTACGACGGACAGAACTAAAATTCTTAGATGTGAACATAATACTTAGTGCAGAGGGCAACATAAGCTGGACAGTTGTAGATAAGACTATGTTGAAAGAGTATTAATTTAAAGAACCATAAAATTAATATGGTCATTTCGTGATGCATTTCGTCATATTTCCAAGTTTTTTTATGTTATTCATCATTTTTTATACTTTACTATTTCCCTTTGAATAATTAAGAACAGTGTGGATTTTATGTATTTAAAAACCAAACCCCAATAATTCATTTTTCACGCTTGATATACACTATCCTGCAGTTACAACGTATTACGATTACCATTTGTGCTTCAGAGTACCTAACAATACGAAGATAAGAAACACTAAGCAGCTGATTCCTTCTAGTTTGAAACTTTAATGGTGCTGAAAGGCGGACTTACACAGGATCGTAATCAGAACTTTTAAATTTTATTTCTTACAGTTTACAGGAAGAATCACTTCTGGATGATACAAATATCCCGATGAAACACCCAACTATATAATTCATTGAAAGACAGACAGACAGATACAACACAGAACTTCGTACATAAGTACATCAGTTCAGGTTGCCATACCACATCAGCACAGAGAGGCAACTGTCAGTTCAAATCCAAAAGTGACAGCGATATTAAAAGTATTAGCAGCAATGGAGAAGATTAGGGAGCGAAGATTTGATTCTAGAAGTATAATTCAGTAAGATAAATTTAGAAGGAAAAAGGTAGAGATTATAGGGAATGCAGAAGCTTAGAATTTCATAGAACACAAACAGTGGATGCACCTGCACCATTGCAAACGATTTTGAGCCATGCCCTTCAAGGTATCGAACCACCGGTGACTATTGTCTCGCGGACCCCAACCAGGTAGCCTACATCTACCAACATGACTCAGTCCACTTGTCAGTGACTTCATGGATTTCTGCCATGTTTTGGTTTGGCCGCCCCTAGCTCTTTTCCAACCTCCTCCTATACCACAAAACATAGCTTGTCGCAGCGGTCGGTGGTTAGCCATACGTAACACATGTCCCAACCACCTCAACTGATGAAGTTTCAATACTTCATCTGTTGATCAGCCATCCTTACCTAGTACTCGTTTCCTAACGATAGCACTGCTTACTCGGTTGTCCCAGGATACACGAGCGATGCTTCGGAGACACCTATGATCGAAAACCAGTAACCTACGAATGTCCTCTACTCTTAACGGCCATATATCGTATCCGTACAGTAGGACGGAGCGAACTGCTGCACAGTACACTCGTCCTTTGGTTAACAAGCGGATATCTCGCCTGCGCCATAAGTGACGCAGATTGGCAAAAGCCAATCGAGACTTCTGTATCCGTGCTGAGATTTCGTCAGTAACCAGGCCTTCAGCACTGATGAGACTCCCAAGATAAGTGAAGTAGTCTACACGATCAACAACTTCACTCCTTATCACTAGTTCAGGTGCCGATGCAACCCAATCTTGAAGCAACATTTCGCACTTCGAGGGGGAGATCCACATCCCAAACATGCTGGCATTGTTGCTTAGGGTAGTCAGAAGACTCTGTATTTTGTCAACGTCTTCACCTAATAGGGCTATTTCATCTGCGTATTCTAAGTCGATAAGCGAGCCACCTGGTAAACGGTCTACTCCTGCAAATTCAGACGAGGATAAGGATATTTCTAGGAGCATGTCTATGATAAAATTAAACAAGAATGGAGAGAGTGAACAGCCCTGACGGACACCACTTGAAGTGGAGTATTCCGGTGACAGTTCGCCATAAGCTCTCACTCGACCAGTGGTGTTCGAGTAGAGAGCTTATATGAGGTTAATGTACTTCTCTCGTACACCTTTCAATGACAAACACTGCCACACTACCTCACGATCCACTGAGTCAAATGCCGCTTTTAGGTCCAGGAAAACAACTATTGTAGGACGCCTCAATGTGTGTCTGTGTTCCAGGACCTGTCTGAGTGTGAAAATGTGGTCTATACAACCAAGTCCAGGTCGAATACCAACCTGGTATTTTCGAGTTTGCTCTTCACGAGCTTTCGTTAAGCGTCGAAGTATTACTGAGGCCAATATTTTAGATACTATATTAGTTAGACTTATTCCCCTGTGATTGTCACAAGAAGACTTTTGTCCTTTCTTATAGATTGGGACAATCAGTGATTGAGACCAGTCGGATGGGATTACGTCCAGTTCCCAGATTCTACCTAAGATCTCGGTCAACCTAGTTGCTAAAACTGGACCACCATCCTTAAATATCTCAGGGGTCAGTCTATCAGGACCCGCAGCTCGCCCTCCCTTCTGATTTCCTAACGCTTTCTCAACTTCATGAAGACTAGGGGGACTTAGGTCGATTTGCCATTCAGGATGACTAGAGATCGTGCGTAAGCGAAGAGTGGTTCGAGGCCAGTTGAATTGATCCCCATTGATCCAATCTCGTGGATTGAGAATGAATATTTAGGCCATCCTTTTCGGAAATAGTCTCACTCACATTCGGGTTCCGAATACTGGTTTCTTTGATGAGTCGGAAAAGTTGTCTAGTGTTGCCTATCGTTGCTGCCTTCTCCGTCGCTTTTGCTTTCGCCACCCACCACTGTTCACAGTCGTTACGTAGACTTTTTATCAGTTTGCGCTTAAGCTTACTTCGATTTCAGAGTCAGGTGGGATGAGTTTTCGAGCATCCATAAGTTCGGTGAATGCTACGGCTTCATCCTTGCCTCATGGTTTACCTTACTAGCAGATATCACTGCTCTTTCCACAGCCTTTTCGATATCATTCCAACCTGCTTTCGGATGGGATTCGCTTAAATGGTCTCCTAACTGTCCTTCTAGTTGTTCCTGAAATGTATTCATAGCCTCATTATCATTAAGTAAAACCCTAAGAGGCTTCCTTACGGCGTCTTCCCTACGCCCGGTAAGCCTCAAACAAATACGAGCTCGCACTAGGGAATGATCTGAATCTAAACATGTGCCCCAGAACAAGCGACAGTCCTCAATCGAACCCCTCCATCGGTGGCTGATGTCGATGTGATCTAGTTGGGTCCAACGTTGAGACGACTTCGGGGGTCGCCAGGTCAACAGATGTTTTTCCTAATGCCTAAAGTTAGTGTTTGCTAAGAATAGGCGGTTATCCGAGCGCAGTTGCAACAGACGGTCGCCATTATCTGTTCTCTGAGCAGCGACACCATAACATCCACTAAGGTGTCTTCCATTTTCACTTGGTCTATCTACTTGATCTTTAAAGTCACCAGCCATTATTACTACATCGGAGTGCCTAGCTTTTTAGAAGAGGTTCGAAAGCTTTCTGTAAAACTCATCTTTCACCTCGTCTGAACTGCAGTCAGTGGGGGCATAGGCAGATACGACCAAGAAGCAACGACGGGTGTCCCTATCTTTCCGAGTTCTTACTGTCCCGTTCAGTCGGATGGCGCACAAGCGACTATCTACTGGGATCCAGTCAAGAAGAGATAGTTCCGCCTTACGACTCAATGCTATACCCCGGGAAGCAGCACCAGGGATACCGGATACACGAAGAGTAAATCGAGTTGGTTGTTTATTTTGATAAGGTGAAATCAGAATAATGATTTTACTAGGATCCTGTATGCGCGTTTCCGAGACGCAGCATACATCGATTGAGCGAGATTCTAACGTTCTAGCTAACGAAGCCTGTTGCCCTATTTGATACAATGTCCGTACATTTAATTCTCCAACATGAACATTGAACCTCTATAGACATTATTAGTATTAGGAAATTAGATATTTTTAGAAAGTATTAGTGCGAACAAGAAAACACATTATTAATTCGATTCATAAGAGCTTGTGTGTCTCCTGAATGGGAGGAAATTAGCGTCCTATGTTTCATTGAACTTCAACAGTGAAATAATAACACTAATATGCAAAACAAATATACCATAGGATTTAGCGTTTCGAGTAAATAAACGATATGAATTTCATGTCATCGGTTGAAGCAACTCCTTTCACACTTGGAATATGATAAAATCTCAAATATATGATCATATCATGAGCATTACAATCGATACAATTTTTGTGTGAAGTGCTACAAAGCGGAATAACTAAGTCAATGTTGTATCAATGTATTCTTTTTGTTAGTATGGTATGTTATCGATTGCTCTTTTTGCTCAAAAACTTGCGTTTTCTGCTAGGAACATACTTTCTATGCTCAATCTTTCATACTACCCTGGCACTTACTTACGCTAATATCGTGTGGCAACCTGAATTGATCCACAAATGCGCCAGGTTCTGCGTTACGCTTGAACGAGGAGGTAGACGAAACAATTAGTCGGGACCATATTCTAATAAATAAAACGGATACAATATTGGTAGAGCTCTGATTAACCATAACTTATTACATTAATCTAAAATGAGAAATGAAATAATTAATAACGACAATAATAATTAATCGATGGGATAACATAATACCAACACATATGTGTACAATTTAAAGCTGCTATAGGAAGGGCAATATTGCAGACGAATAAATGAAGATAACTTCAATGATAAACAATCGTAAAACAAAAGCATTACAGAGACAATATAGATATGGGTTTTTTAATACAATGAGAATTCAAAAAAATAGAATTACAATTATTATGTACCACGTAAAGGTAAAACATACATTAGGAGCATAGTAGTAACTGCATTAATTGACAATCTTAGTGGAAAACTGTTACCCTACATAATTTTTATTTAAGGAAGTTCTAACAATTTTGTGTAGCAAAACCGATATTTTCATTTAGAGCAATTCACAAGCACTAACATACACACGCATATATGTACACATCAATTTCATAAATATTTAGACACAAAATGTAAGACAATAAACGGAACCAAAAAGCTAATAGGACATAATTTATCATTCTGTTGAATGCTGGCAGTTTATTTCTTTTGAAAAATAGGTTTTCGGGAATGGACAAAGTCGAAAACGAAGATGGAAGAAATCTCTTTCTTAGTATCTTCTTCAGTAGTGTCGTTCATATTAAAACAATCTAATGTTTGTAGCAGAAAACTAGTGCATAAATGATTTTTCTGAGGTATCAGCAAAACTGTTGGAAAAATAAACATATTGTCAAATATTTATTGTTAACAATGTCATCATTACAAGCGAAATAGATTAACAACTTATTTGAAAAAACGATTATATCTGATTACAAAATAAATCAGCTCACAGGTATGTATGCTAATGAACACTAACTTAACGATGATAAGTTTCTGCATTCCATGTCAGACTACTTATTTACTGGTGAACATGGTTTCAACTTTGATTTAAAACAAAGCAATAATCTACATTCCTCAATATTGTTTAAATGCTTTGCGGATTGAGTTTGAAGCGAAAAGCTGGAAGATAGTCAATGCCCTCGGAAAAATATAGCTGCTTGAATCCAGGAACTTCAATAGTGGCAGCCACTTTACATTGAAACCATGACATAAGATACAGAAAAATATTTGGAGTCATCAAAGTTCAACCTTACTATGCAAAACGTAAACTGTTCAACTGCTTATGAAAACAAATGCACAAATTGGGACTTCGGGAGAAACCGCTACAAATATATGGTTTATGTAAGAGAATTAGTTTTTAGATAACAGAAAGAGTAGTTAAACTATAGATTTTGAGCTCATTATGGAAACCTTTTAGTATGCGGTCTTAGCTGTCAGTGATATGAAGAATTGCAATTTATGTCAGGATTAACTGATTGGACCTTCAATAACAGTCGTTTATGTGCTGATAGGTTGATAAATGTAAGGTGGTGATCTTTTAACCAAAAGCACCAGGTTACATTTACCACCTTAGTTTAAAACCGACGTGAAAATGTATGCTCTGGGGTTTCATTTACAACTCAAGACTGAAATCATTATATCATTTTTAGGAGCTCCGACTGAACAAGAGTATATCAGAGCACCCCTAAGTAAAGGGGTATTCATTAGCAGAGCATTGCATGAGAAAATGTTAGACTAATATAAATGAACTACCTAGAGTAAGGTCTAAAAATGTAGAATTATGACGAAGTAACGATATGGAACTTACTTTCCATCGGTGACCGCAATTGTTACAGTAGACAAAAGTCGTCATTGGTTCATCGGCACTACGAGTTTGAACCTATGGAAAGAGGAAGTATTTGTGACTTTGAAAGAACGTAACACACATTGAGGAAAGAAATAAGTGGCTAAGTGCCACAGCCTCAATCAGATAAAATGACAAAGAATTTTGTGACGGTTTTAATCAAAATGGATTATTGGGCTAAGGTAAAAAAACTGAACAGAGTGAATAGATTGGGAGCAACGATAGCTTTAGCGGAATAAACCATTTCCTATAAAAAGTAGATACACACTGACTTAAGTTTGGATAATGAGACCAACAAAAGTGATAATGAGAAAACGTACTGATAGATCCCGACCGTAGTTCCTACCTTGACGTGGTGGTCGGGCTTGCCTATCGCGATGACCCAACCGAGCTATACTGGCTGGAACATATATTCCTGAAGGTTCTACCATGCCAAGCAGGTCGACTGGAAAGCGATTAGACTAAAATCAGCAACTCAAGGTCTGAGGGCGAAGTCGTACTGCTGACTGCATAGAGGTGTGACAGCAGTAAGATGTTTCCCTCGGACAACCAGCATCTGCAGCGATGCTGCCTTCTCACAAGGAAGGAAGGGTTAGAAAACGTCAACCCTAAAAATGTCACACCTCACCATACTTCACGGATTTCCGTCTCCGACGGTAAGGGTGCCCACTGAAGGCTTTTAAGAGCGGAGCTAATACTCATAAATCCTTCAATCAAAAATCCATGCGTGACCGACCTCAAGCAGTTGTCCCTTGGGCTCTGCGGTCACACACTCAGGTCTCTAAGACGGACACCAATCCACCTTCCTTTTTTGTTCGTCAAGAAACAACCTTCCACGGTGTGGGCAGCCGGGAAGTGACAACCGCCCTCATACCCGTAACAGTACGAGACCGAATTGGTCAAAATCAAATCCTTCATACACCCCCAAATACCTCTCTTATCTCCACGACTAACTCTTCGCACATTCCTTTATCTCACTGCACCACTAATAAAAACGATGCGAGTTCAAGAAACGTCATTCCTTGTCTCCTTTAACCTCGTTCTAAACCACATGTTGGAGCATTAAATGTACGGACATTGTATCAAATAGGGCAACAGGCTTCGTTAGCTAGAACGTTAGAATCTCGCTCAATCGATGTATGCTGCGTCTCGGAAACGCGCATACAGGATCCTAGTAAAATCATTATTCTGATTTCACCTTATCAAAATAAACAACCAACTCGATTTACTCTTCGTGTATCCGGTATCCCTGGTGCTGCTTCCCGGGGTATAGCATTGAGTCGTAAGGCGGAACTATCTCTTCTTGACTGGATCCCAATAGATAGTCGCTTGTGCGCCATCCGACTGAACGGGACAGTAAGAACTCGGAAAGATAGGGACACCCGTCGTTGCTTCTTGGTCGTATCTGCCTATGCCCCCACTGACTGCAGTTCAGACGAGGTGAAAGATGAGTTTTACAGAAAGCTTTCGAACCTCTTCTAAAAAGCTAGGCACTCCGATGTAGTAATAATGGCTGGTGACTTTAAAGATCAAGTAGATAGACCAAGTGAAAATGGAAGACACCTTAGTGGATGTTATGGTGTCGCTGCTCAGAGAACAGATAATGGCGACCGTCTGTTGCAACTGCGCTCGGATAACCGCCTATTCTTAGCAAACACTAACTTTAGGCATTAGGAAAAACATCTGTTGACCTGGCGACCCCCGAAGTCGTCTCAACGTTGGACCCAACTAGATCACATCGACATCAGCCACCGATGGAGGGGTTCGATTGAGGACTGTCGCTTGTTCTGGGGCACATGTTTAGATTCAGATCATTCCCTAGTGCGAGCTCGTATTTGTTTGAGGCTTACCGGGCGTAGGGAAGACGCCGTAAGGAAGCCTCTTAGGGTTTTACTTAATGATAATGAGGCTATGAATACATTTCAGGAACAACTAGAAGGACAGTTAGGAGACCATTTAAGCGAATCCCATCCGAAAGCAGGTTGGAATGATATCGAAAAGGCTGTGGAAAGAGCAGTGATATCTGCTAGTAAGGTAAACCATGAGGCAAGGATGAAGCCGTAGCATTCACCGAACTTATGGATGCTCGAAAACTCATCCCACCTGACTCTGAAATCGAAGTAAGCTTAAGCGCAAACTGATAAAAAGTCTACGTAACGACTGTGAACAGTGGTGGGTGGCGAAAGCAAAAGCGACGGAGAAGGCAGCAACGATAGGCAACACTAGACAACTTTTCCGACTCATCAAAGAAACCAGTATTCGGAACCCGAATGTGAGTGAGACTATTTCCGAAAAGGATGGCCTAAATATTCATTCTCAATCCACGAGATTGGATCAATGGGGATCAATTCAACTGGCCTCGAACCACTCTTCGCTTACGCACGATCTCTAGTCATCCTGAATGGCAAATCGACCTAAGTCCCCCTAGTCTTCATGAAGTTGAGAAAGCGTTAGGAAATCAGAAGGGAGGGCGAGCTGCGGGTCCTGATAGACTGACCCCTGAGATATTTAAGGATGGTGGTCCAGTTTTAGCAACTAGGTTGACCGAGATCTTAGGTAGAATCTGGGAACTGGACGTAATCCCATCCGACTGGTCTCAATCACTGATTGTCCCAATCTATAAGAAAGGACAAAAGTCTTCTTGTGACAATCACAGGGGAATAAGTCTAACTAATATAGTATCTAAAATATTGGCCTCAGTAATACTTCGACGCTTAACGAAAGCTCGTGAAGAGCAAACTCGAAAATACCAGGTTGGTATTCGACCTGGACTTGGTTGTATAGACCACATTTTCACACTCAGACAGGTCCTGGAACACAGACACACATTGAGGCGTCCTACAATAGTTGTTTTCCTGGACCTAAAAGCGGCATTTGACTCAGTGGATCGTGAGGTAGTGTGGCAGTGTTTGTCATTGAAAGGTGTACGAGAGAAGTACATTAACCTCATATAAGCTCTCTACTCGAACACCACTGGTCGAGTGAGAGCTTATGGCGAACTGTCACCGGAATACTCCACTTCAAGTGGTGTCCGTCAGGGCTGTTCACTCTCTCCATTCTTGTTTAATTTTATCATAGACATGCTCCTAGAAATATCCTTATCCTCGTCTGAATTTGCAGGAGTAGACCGTTTACCAGGTGGCTCGCTTATCGACTTAGAATACGCAGATGAAATAGCCCTATTAGGTGAAGACGTTGACAAAATACAGAGTCTTCTGACTACCCTAAGCAACAATGCCAGCATGTTTGGGATGTGGATCTCCCCCTCGAAGTGCGAAATGTTGCTTCAAGATTGGGTTGCATCGGCACCTGAACTAGTGATAAGGAGTGAAGTTGTTGATCGTGTAGACTACTTCACTTATCTTGGGAGTCTCATCAGTGCTGAAGGCCTGGTTACTGACGAAATCTCAGCACGGATACAGAAGTCTCGATTGGCTTTTGCCAATCTGCGTCACTTATGGCGCAGGCGAGATATCCGCTTGTTAACCAAAGGACGAGTGTACTGTGCAGCAGTTCGCTCCGTCCTACTGTACGGATACGATATATGGCCGTTAAGAGTAGAGGACATTCGTAGGTTACTGGTTTTGATTATAGGTGTCTCCGAAGCATCGCTCGTGTATCCTGGGACAACCGAGTGAGCGATGCTGTCGTTAGTAAACTAGTACTATGTAGAGATTGCAAACCAACAGATGAAGTATTGAAACTTCATGAGTCAAGGTGGTTGGGACATGTGTTACGTATGGCTAACCACCGACCGCTGCGACAAGCTATGTTTTGTGGTATAGGAGGAGGTTGGAAAAGAGCTAGGGGCGGCCAAACCAAAACATGGCAGAAATCCATGAAGTCACTGACAAGTGGACTGAGTCATGTTGGTAGATGTAGGCTACCTGGTTGGGGTCCGCGAGACAATAGTCACCGGTGGTTCGATACCTTGAAGGGCATGGCTCAAAATCGTTTGCAATGGTGCAGGTGCATCCACTGTTTGTGTTCTATGAAATTCTAAGCTTCTGCATTCCCTATAATCTCTACCTTTTTCCTTCTAAATTTATCTTACTGAATTATACTTCTAGAATCAAATCTTCGCTCCCTAATCTTCTCCATTGCTGCTAATACTTTTAATATCGCTGTCACTTTTGGATTTGAACTGACAGTTGCCTCTCTGTGCTGATGTGGTATGGCAACCTGAACTGATGTACTTATGTACGAAGTTCTGTGTTGTATCTGTCTGTCTGTCTTTCAATGAATTATATAGTTGGGTGTTTCATCGGGATATTTGTATCATCCAGAAGTGATTCTTCCTGTAAACTGTAAGAAATAAAATTTAAAAGTTCTGATTACGATCCTGTGTAAGTCCGCCTTTCAGCACCATTAAAGTTTCAAACTAGAAGGAATCAGCTGCTTAGTGTTTCTTATCTTCGTATTGTTAGGTACTCTGAAGCACAAATGGTAATCGTAATACGTTGTAACTGCAGGATAGTGTATATCAAGCGTGAAAAATGAATTATTGGGGTTTGGTTTTTAAATACATAAAATCCACACTGTTCTTAATTATTCAAAGGGAAATAGTAAAGTATAAAAAATGATGAATAACATAAAAAAACTTGGAAATATGACGAAATGCATCACGAAATGACCATATTAATTTTATGGTTCTTTAAATTAATACTCTTTCAACATAGTCTTATCTACAACTGTCCAGCTTATGTTGCCCTCTGCACTAAGTATTATGTTCACATCTAAGAATTTTAGTTCTGTCCGTCGTAGTATATGAATTTTAACTGATAGTCCTTCTGTTTGGACATTAAGGTTAGTCGAAGCACAACTACCAAAAAACCTATAACGTCATCAAATTGCGTGAGTTGTCACTTTTAGTGTATTGTATTGAAAGCTACACATCTTACCAGTTATTTGAAAATAAATACAAAACATACTTAGTAAAAACATTGTATTGATCACCTGCTAATGAAAACAATCTAGAAAGTATTGGTTCTATGCTTAAAATCAATAAAGTTTTAACCTGTAATGGTTAATGTGCTTCGTTTACAAAGTTTTCTTATCGAGTTAATCTGTTCATTTTTATTGAACATCAGTAATAATAGTTACAAAATTTAATCGATAATTTTCTTCAACTAACCAGTTCGTAAGTTATTGATGTTAGAAAAATATTTGCACTGAATAATGTCACATTATCTAGTTCTTATTGCTGATGGAATTCTGTTGATGAAATTTACCTAGTGACTACAGATCAAGCGTTACTGTCCTGATTAAGGCTAATCGTGTCTGTGATTGAAACAGTGAGTGACACAGATTTGTACCTCTAGAGTAGGGTCACTAGTATACCAAGTATTTGAACAATACTTTGCTAATAACTAAGAAACATTATCAACCCCTATCTAGGAGCTTTAATTCCGGCTGTATCTAATCATAAATCATTATTATTATTTGCGATGAGGATCGGAGTCAGCCTAGACGTAGGCTGACAAAAAGCCTGCGCAATGACCGAGAGCAGTGGTGGGTGGAGAAAGCGAGAGATGGAAAAGGCAGCCGCGATAGGCAACACTTGACAACTTTTCCGGCTTATGAAAGAAACCAGTATTAGGAACCCGAATGTGAGTGAGATTATCTCAGAAAAGGATGGTTGTATCATTTATTCTCAATCCAGGGGACTAGACCGACGGGCAGAAGACTTTAGGTACTAGTTCAGCCACACTTCGGTTGCCCACGATCCCCAGTCATCCTGAATGGCAAATCGATTTAAATCCTCCTAGTCTACATGAAGTTGAGAGAGCTATAAAAAAATCCAAAGCGAGGTAGAGCAGCAGGTCCTGTTAGGCCTACCCCTGAGATGTTTAAGGATGGTGGTACAGTTTTAACAGTTAGACTGACCGAGATCCTAGGTAGAATCTGGGAACTGGACATAATCCCATCTGACTGGTCTCAGTCGCTAATTGTCCCAATCTACTAGAAAGGACAAAAGTCCTCTTGTGACAATCGCAGGGGACTCAGTCTAACTTATTTAGTTTCTAAATTGTTGGCCTCCATTTCACTTAGACGTCTAACTAGAGCTCGTGAAGAGCAGACTAGAGAAAACCAGGCTGGTTTCAGACCTGGAGGTGGTTCTATAGACCACATATTCACACTAGGACAGGTCCTGGAACACAGACACACATTGAGGCGTCCTACAATAGTTGTGTTCGTGGACCTTAAGGCGTCATTTGACTCTGTGGATCGTGAGGTTCTGCAGTAAACATAAGCATTAACAAGAATGAAATACTGCAAAACTCATATAACCATTATTCAACGTACAGCAGTTGTGTAACAGACTTTTTTAATGCAACCAAGAATAATAGAATATGATGGCCACGATTAGATATAATTACTTATATAAATTCGGATTCGGTTGAGTAGGATGTTTAGATAAGTTAAATGTGAATATATTATTGATTGACATCGCCGATAGAACTAAGAACATGGAGCACCATCTGCTTGTGCTCATCGGAGACTTTTCTACAGTAAACACCCAATCGTTTGAATAAATAACCTGCGGGTCATGTAGTGAGTAGTTTGTTTCTGGAATACTCAGACCCACCGATCTGCACCTACAATTTCAGCCAGTTGGATATACTGATGATCAATTTTTTAACCTAAAATTAGCTGGTCTAAAGCAACTAACCTGATTATATGTACACTTGGTCTGTTTGCACTTTCCGCATCGTAGCAAATCAGTTTCTGTCCCACCAGTTACAGCCATTTGATGATCTTCTATGGTTTCTTTAGTATATTTTTCACGAAGTTCTTTCATTTCCTTACTAGCCATTTCCTACACGAAAAAATCAATAAATAATAAACGTGAGAAAATACTTACGTATCCTACTGAGATTAAATTAATTTGTAGTAAAGAAGGGTTTTGAAGTAAATGGCGGATAAAATTCTGGTCAACATATGACTCACAGTGGTTCATTCATAACTACAAATGTGATCACCGACCGTAGCTGTTACCTAGACGTGGTGGTTAGGCTGGCCTATCGAGATGATCCAACCGAGATATATTGGCTGTGAACACGTTATTTTTGCTTCTATCATGCCAGGTAGGTCGATTGGAGAACGGTAAGACTAAAAGCAGCAACTTAAGGTCTGAGAAAGAAGTTGAACTGTTGACTATCGAGAGGTGTGACAGCAGTAAAATGTTTTCATCAGACAATCAGCATCTGCAACAATGCTGCCTTCTAACAACGGAAGGGGCTAGGAAAGGTCGACACTAAAATGTCACATCTCACTTTATCCCAAGGATTTCTGTCTCCGGAGATAAGGCTACTTGAGAGGCGGAGCTAACGCTTTAAAAACTTCGAATTAAAAGGCTATACGTGAACTACCTCAAGCATTTGTTTTTTGGGTTTTGCATTCACGTTACCAGGTCACTGAGACCAACACTAACCTAGCTCACTTTTCATGTTCCTTCCATGGTGTGAACAGCTGGAAAGTGAGAACTGTCCTCATACCTCCAAAAGAATTCAAGATCATATATGAATTTTTCATATCTTTCTATATCACTAACTGAATCGTATCTTTGATGCTTAATTCGTTTTGAAACCACTGGTATTGTTACTACCTTTACTACTTTGGAATTCGTTCGGCCTGACAATTCTCTCTGGACGAATGAGGTATGACAATGTTCTACGTTGCAACTGACTGACTTCCAGATTACCAGTTAAAAGGTGACCTGTGGAAGTATCAGTCAATTACAGACAGACAGACAGACAGATGCAACGTAGAACTTCGTACGTAAGTACATCAGTTCATGTCGCCATACCACATCAACACAGAGATATAATTGTCAATTCAAATCCAATAGTAGAAGAGGTAGTAAAGGTATTAGAAGTAATCGGAGAGGTTAGGATTAGAAGATATTATTCATGAAGTATGATTCAGTGAGATAAGTTTAGAAAGTAAAAACTAGGTGTTGAAGAATCCAGAAGATTAAGATTTGAGAGAACACAAAGAATAAATGCACTGGCGCCATTGCGAACGATTTTGAGCCATGTCATTCAAGGTCTCTAGCCATCGATTATTATCATCTCGCAGACCCCAACCAGGTAGTCGACAATTACCGACATGGCTAAGTCCACTAGTCAATGACTTCATGGATTTCTGCCATGTTTTGGTCTGGCCGCCCCTAGCTTTCTTCCAACCTATTCCTACACTACAAAACAAAGCTCGACGAGGGAGTCGCTGGTTAGGCATACGCAACACGTGTCCCAACCACCTCAACTGATGAAGTTTCACCACTTCATCGATTGGTCTGCCATTCTTACCTAGCACCCGATTCCTAATAACAGCGTTGCTCACTCGGTTGTCCCACGATATACGAGCAATGCTTCGAAGACATCTATGATCGAAAACCAATAACCGACGAGTATCTTCTACTCTCATTGGCCATGTTTCACAGCCATAAAGTAAGACGGAGCGAACCACTGCGCAGTACACTCGTCCTTTAGTCAGCAGACGGATATCTCGCCTACGCCATAAGTGACGCAGGTTGGCAAAAGCCAATCGAGCCTTCTGTATCCGTGCCGAGATTTCGTCAGTCACCAGGCCATCGGCACTGATGAGACTCCCGAGATAAGTGAAGCGGTCTACACGTTCGACTACTTCACTCCCTATCACTAGTTCAGGTGCCGATGCAACCCAATCTTGAAGCAACATTTTGCATTTCGAGGGGGAAAACCGCATCCCGAACATGCTTGCATTGTTGCTTAGGGTAGTCAGAAGACTCTGCATTTTGTCAGCGTCTTCACCAAGTAGGACTATGTCATCGGCATATTCTAAGTCAATAAGCGAGCCACCTGGTAAAAGGTCTACTCCTGAAAATTCAGACGAGGATAAGGTTATTTCTAGGAGCATGTCTATGATAAAATTAAACAAGAATGGAGAGAGTGGACATCCCTGACGGACACCACTTGATGTAGAGAATTCCGGTGACAGTTCGCCATAAGCTCTCACTCGACCAGTGGTGTTCGAGTAGAGAGCTTGTATGAGGTTAATGTACTTCTCTCGTACACCTTTCAATGACAGACACTGCCACAGAACCTCACGATCCACTGAGTCAAATGCCGTCTTAAGGTCCAGGAAAACAACTATTGTAGGACGCCTAAATGTGTGTCTGTGTTCCAAGACCTGTCGTAGTGTGAAAATGTGGTCTATACAGCCACGTCCAGGTCGAAAACCAGCCTGGTTTTCTCGAGTCTGCTCTTCACGGGCTTTCGTTAAGCGTCGAAGTATTATTGAGGCCAATATTTTAGATACTATATTAGTTAGACTTATTCCCCTGTGATTGTCACAAGAAGACTTCTGTCCTTTCTTATAGATTGGGACAATCAGTGATTGAGACCAGCCGGATGGGATTACGTCCAGTTCCCAGATTCTACCTAAGATCTCAGTCAATCTAGCTGCTAAAACTGGACCACCATCCTTAAATATCTCAGGGGTCAGTCTATCAGGACCTGCAGCTCGTCCTCGCTTCAGATTTCCTAAAGCTTTTTCAACTTCATTAAGACTAGGGGGACTTACGTCGATTTGCCATTCAGGATGACTGGAGATCGTGGGCAACCGAAGTGTGGCTGAAGGCCAGTTGAACTGATCCCTAAAGTGTTCTGCCCATCGATCCAGTCTCCTGGATTGAGAATAAATAATAGTCCCGTCATTTTCTGAGATAGTCTCGCTTACACTAGGATTCCTAATACCAGTTTCCTTGATAAGTCGGAAAAGTTGTCTACTGTTGCCTATCGCCGCTGCCTTTTCCATCGCTTTTGCTTTCGCCACCCACCACTGCTCGCGATCGTTACGTAGGCTTTTTATAAGTCTGCGCCTAAGTTGACTTCGTTCTTCATCATGTTCAGAGCCAGGTGGGATGAGTTTTCGGGCATCCATAAGATCGGTGGATGCTGCTGAGATCCACGGTTTTATTCTAGCCTTATGGTCAACCTTACTAGCAGATATCACTGCTGTTTCCACAGCCTTTTTGATATCATTCCATCCTGCTTCCGGATGGGAATCGCTTAAATGGTCGCCTAACTGTCCTTCTAGTTGTTCCTGAAATATATTCATAGCCTCATTATCATTAAGTAAAACCCTAAGAGGCTTCCTTACGGTGTCTTTCCTACGCCCAGTAAGCTTCAAACAAATACGCGCTCGCACTAGGGCATGATCTGAATCTAGACATGTTCTCCAGAACGAGCGACAGTCCTCAATCGAACCCCTCCATCGGTGGCTGATGGCGATGTGATCTAGTTGAGTCCAACGTTGAAACGACTTTGGAGGTCGCCAGGTCAACAGATGCTTTTCCTTATGCCTAAAGTTAGTGTTTGCTAAGAATAGGCGGTTGTCTGAGCATGCTTGCAACAGACGGTCACCATTGTCTGTTCTCTGAGCCGCGACACCATAACATCCACCTAGGTGTCTCTCCTGCTCACTTAGTCTACCTACTTGAGCATTAAAGTCACCAGCCATTATTACTAGATCAGAGCGCCTAGCTTTTTCGAGGAGGTCCGAAAGCTTTCTGTATCAGTCAATTAAATAAGACTGGTCTAAATACCTTGCAAACAGGTTAAGAAAACCATATAAATGAAAATTATTAGAATAAATCAAGTATAGTACGAGCAGAACCAGATTTTACAGGCTGGTTAATCTAAGAATATGAGTAGTAATCGATGATAATATTAAATTAGGTAAGACATACTTTGATGTATAAGATAAATTTCAGAATGGCAGGTTACTGAAAAAATGTACGAAGACTGAAAACGAAATAATGAAAACTTACTTCTGATGTCATAGATGCTAGTTTATCTGGATTCACGTGTCCCATTAAGACATTGATTCGTAAATTGGGATTATTAGAATCACGCAGATTCATAACCCGAGTACGTACCCGCTGTTTGTATTTAGGATCAGTGTTATTGAAAAGGTCATATATGGAGCTTTCTATTCGTATTGCTAGGAACTCGCTTTCGTAAGAACCGCTAGGAATACCTAGGAGGTGAAATCAGTGTGGGTCTGCTACCGTCACTTACTACCACTTTCTAGTGCAGATTGAAGCATCGCCCGAGCTTTTAAACGCACTTGATCTGTTGTAGTTAAAGTGTGGACAGGGAAATAACCACGACTTGCACTTCCCGGTAGTTCTGCAGGTTCCTTTTTTTCACTTGGTCGAGAGCGTTTGGCTTCTTGTGGCCCTGCTTCATCATAGGCATTGCAGTTATTTGACTCAAGTGAGTGTTTATTGTTATTATTATTGCCGTCGTTATTACTACTGTTGTTGCCAACAGCATTGGTGCAAGATGCAGGAGCTTCACTTTTGTCTAAAATGTATCAACATATAATGCTGGGTACATATTCGTGAATAACATTTCTCGAAAATAATACTAGCAACGTAACTAATAGGTTGTCTAGTTTCCTGAATTAAAAAGAATTGCATTAAGTGCTTGACTGCGAATATACCATTAGTGTTATTAATTGCTTTATCCGAGGAATAGGAACAATATCTTCTTTTAGAAGTTAACCTGATACAAGTATAACACAATTTAAAGAAAAATAGATTCGGAATAACAAAATCCAAAATCTTGATTTTACATTGTGATAGGAAATGTTACGGTAATTATCAACAACACACTGAACGATCTTGGATTACCTTCCAATTTTGCCTTATACTGAAGCATTTATTGATTACAAATATCTCAGTAGTTGTAGTTGAAAGTTGAAAATTTTATGAGGCAATTAACTATTTGTGCAGTACTCTAAATTTCACATCAACATTGGTTACCCAGTGAGTTTTAATGTACACCGGTAGTCCTGCAAAGATAATTATGATCAGATGCGAGTGACCACCGCACGCCTTTAATTTTCAGATGCAATGTTCCACACTCATGACAATAATGAACTACTGTGTAGTACGCTCACTATACCAAACAAATGACTACTTTGTATCACCTTTTGGCGTTTTCAACTACTTAGGTTATGAATGAGCTAAAAATAATAATTCTTGTCTGATTTTTCCGCAGCTAATTGCCCATTATGGTAAAGACTACGAGTACTCAAGTATACCAGTCCAGATCTCCACAGGTTGCAAGCAACAGGTGATGAGTGATATAACTATTATTAGGCAGCAACTACTGAAACTATTACTAACTTTGATACTACGATTACGGAGAACATAATTTGTGAGACCTTTGAGGAATTTCGTAGTATCCTCGAGATTTCAATCAATGAATACGGTCAAAGTAGGATTGCAAATCAATGTGAGGAATTGAGACTAAAAGCTACAGCTATAAGTTAAAACTGGCTTTTTATCACCAAATGACATAAGCTAATGCCAAAATGTAACGTAGCGGTATTGGGAAATGAAGTTTACGTCAAAATTTAAGACACGTAATATTAGACCCGACTGGTTTGCTCATAAATCATATTTTCGTCACTTTTAACATTGCATTATGTGGTACTCCGATATGTTAACTTAAACAGATGCGAATATATGACAAGGTCTAAGTCATGAATAACTGACTGACTGATTTTATTTTCAGACTGATGACTTTTAATTTCACGGATGGCAACTTTGGCGCACAAGGATACGACAAGCTCTCGTAAGATATTCAGGTGTAATGGAGTTAAATATTGTTCCATTTGTGCACACGTATCATAGACATGAGTGGGCAATTTTAGTGCCATAACCGCTACAGATTGAGACGACTCACGACGTAAGTTCCGCTTCCCCAAACTTTCAAAAACTATCTTAAATGGACTAAATCCTATAATACATCTGCGCAAGGATTTCCAGAAATTCTAAAAATTGTAAGCACCTTGTCGACAGCATCTAAACTACGAATAGTCCCAATAAATTACCGTTCCAACATTTGATCCATCGATATCTCTCAGAAAAACGGTATGCACACAAAGGATTCGAAACAGAATTCACGTACCTGGTACCAGCTTTTTCCACTGTTTTATCATGTTTTTTCCCAATGTAGCAACCTCCGGATCTTCTGACTCCTTTCGTATCTTATTGATGATAATACCTACACCAGTTTTGGTTAAAATTTCTAGCGTCATTTCGATGCTTCGTAATCGCCTGAGGTATTTCAGTGCGGATTCATCGTCCTGAGAAGATACACTTAGAAAAATAACCCGGGACGTACTATTTTTTTGTTCTTTAGCATGCGATCAAGTCGCCGAGCAACATGTTCGGTCTCCTCCATTTCACGGCTTGTGATGCGAAACCCAGCGAGATGAGTATATATACCGCGAGGATAAATTTCTTTGTGATATGCTAATCTGTAGTTATTTAAGTGTGAGCTGGGAGAACGTGAGCAATTTCGGGTAACAACAGATGTGAGCTAACTCTTAGTAAGCAGGTAAAATGCACTTACAGCTAATAATAAGAGAGACTGACAAAAATTAGCAATGACATTCAAGTAAGTTCGAGATAATCTAAAAATCGAAACTATGTTAGTGGGGTACTTCAAAAACGCATTACATGCCCTACGACCGAAAAAGGCGCTCTTAATGCTTGATTTCAATCCTTCAATTACTGTCCGACAAAGATCCTTTCTACCTCAACATCAAATGTATTGGTAACGAGTTAAACAATTTCTTGGGAAATATGGCTTGGTGTTGAGGGATGTTCGGTTCTATTTGTGAATTTACTCGCTACTATAACCTTGATGACAAGTAATCTTTAGGTTATGTTTTGCGTGGTAATTACTGACTCTTGGTTTTCCCATTTTTTTACTTATCTTACTTTCAGATGAAACTTCCAGCCTATGCTGGAATATCTGTATCCAATACCCAATATCTTTTTCTCCAAGTGGTATAAACCAACTGATTTCTTTGCGCTCGATTCTTGTTCTTTCGTTACGGTCCTAGGTGTTTGCTATCGTCCAGTGGATGGTTAAATAAATCCCCAAAATTAATTGTTCGGTTGGTTTTCGACATCATTAGCTCTTAAAGACACAGCCTAGTTGAAAGCTTTCGGTAACGCATCCGCACGCGATCACAGTAAGGCATGCCGTGCTACAAATCTCCTCGTATCATGTAACAGGCTTAGTTCACCCAATGGCCAACATTATTCTAATATACTCTTGATCTTCCTCATTCCTGGCTTCCGGTCCGACTTGGATTTGGGTATTCTCGAAATGAAAGATGTTACAGGCAAAAGCATTACTCACTTCTGGATATCCGTGACATTCTCACTGGCTGGTATGATCTGATCCGGAACATTCAAAGGGATACCCTAAGTCTGCTAGTATCACTTTTAGTATCTCCGTTCTTCCAGCTTCTCATGTAATAGGGGGTGGTGTTTTCAGCCACACCTTTCAAAAGCACATGGCCTCGGTGATCGACAATTTTTTGCTACATGGTTGCCCTTTAAACAAAAGCCACATAACTTATGCTTAAAGACGAATTCTTTTCTTTCTCCAACATTTTTTTCTTTAAACCTCTGGTTTTGATCTAAAGAATGATTGCTTGAGCACTCCAGACAGGGTAAACTACGTAAGGAGAAATCGCCATCATTAGTGCTTGCATATGCTATCCTTGCTGTGTTGTAACTTGCACTAGTTTTCCCCTTCAAAGCACCGAAATCCCTTTTGTCACTATTATTGCCGCGGCTGACAAGTAGGCCGTATCTAGTATTAACTATATCTGACTGTTCCTTAACAAATTCATAGAGGTCCTTGAAGAAAGGCTCCCTACTGTCTTGAGAATTCGACATGCTACATTAACCCATTCCCTATGTAGGTATAGCGCGAGTTTTAAAAGCACCCATTTGATGGTTTTTGTAGAATTAAGATCATACAGATAGTTCATTTGTACGAGCGCTCATAAACATGCATCTCACGAGCCACTCTTCTTAAATTATCTGGGTCAGTTCGCTTAATGGCAGGGATGTTCAGCATTTTATCGATAAATGCATGAATTATCATTTGTTTCTGACCGAATTCGTCCTTAAGAAGCTCTAACGCTTTACGATAGCCTTCTTCTGGTTCCAGCAACGCATAACGAACAGTGGTAGCCTTAGCATCACCATCTCAATGCTGAATCAAATAGTTTAACTTAGATCGAAACCCAACGCTTTCATTAAAACAGTCTTCCAAATTCCGTATGAGACGCCAGTAATTCATGGGATTACCATCAAACCTTATGATATCTCTCTTGGGTAAGTCTAAAGCTTTATAATTCTTATCCAGTCCTTTCCGGGATTAATATCTGCTGTACGTGAGGCAGATGTAGCCTCGTACGACAAAATATTGTCATCCACAACTTGATCACAATATTCTCTTCCTCTTTGAAGTAACCGTTTTAACTCAATTTCTCTTTTTGTCTGAGCCAGACGTACTTTAGCTAATTCTAACTCTAACAATAAGGTTCATTCGGTAGCTATTTCTTCCAAACTGGTCCTCACTACGAGTTTCTGAATAGTGTGCAGATAATTCAGGGATCTGATCAGTTTTACGATTCTCCGGAGACATTTAAAGGTATTCAATATATGAACTTGTGATGAGACATTGGTGGAAAATTTGTAGGATTTATTTTGTCCTACAGATGGATTTTATGACTTTGAACGTTATACTGGCGAGCACAGAGTCTGTAGGAAAGCTATAGTCAAAACAAGACCAATTTGGTTCTAAACTTTTTCTGTTTCTAAACAAAAACAATTAGATAAGTGTAATAATTAAGGAAATTACAGTTATCAAACAAGACTAGCAAATATACCGACCAATATAACGTGTCTTATAGAAGTGAATAAAACTGTGAGTCACATCAGTATAATAAGATAATAATGTCATTCAATTTGTAGATCATTCACAACAAAGTTAGCTTACGGGCGCGTCAAACCAGATTATGCGGTAAGCGCTTAAACCACGATCTGATTAGTTAGTTACGGCATAACTAAAATTAGTTGTGGAAATAACTAACAGTTACATCTAATATGTTCACCCTAAGAGACAGATTCTTGAATACGAAGACCTGACCGATCAACGAAGTTTATGTCGGATTATCCACAGTATCGTACTATCACACAGGGACCAAGTGAAACACATACTGGCAAAAGAAACATTACTACATATGGTAGAAGTGATTGTTCAACGAAATTGTGACGAAGGTCTTTGCTGAAAACCCTTTCTGTTCAAACTTACCACACAGGAGTAGGCTGTATTCGCCTCATTTTAAAATAATACCGAGAACCAGCTAGCTACATCTTTCAATCGGATTCTGGATATTGCCAGAACTTTCATCCCCGCGGGTTATTTTCTTGAACAAACATCTCAACCGACCAGAAACGAACCTACACACCTACTCCCTAATTCTTCAGTACAATCATGAACCACTGAAGACTCTTCAAAGTAGCCTATTTCACCAAAGATCTTTTTCTAGACTGCCGGAAACAGATAAACCATATCAGTGTTGACACCACAACAATGATTAATATTCGAGAGTTCCGAAAACCCTTCAGTTTCCCTAGCCTTAAATCATCCATCGCAGACAAAAGGTACATTCGCCTTAACATGGGTTTACCAAAACCCATCCACTGAATTTTCGTTACTGTAGGTGTGTCATTGCCAGTCGTTCGTATGGACTAACCACATCACCATGACCTTCTCATCGACCCGAAAAATAGAAGTTAGCAGGCGGTATTTTTAAATTATCTGTCTTTGAAATTTTATTCTCTTGGTGAAGGTAACGCTCAGTGACGGTTATAGACAATAATCAAATCCTTATGGCTTAGAAAGACATTCCTAACACGCATTGGACCCTACTAAATTTTCCTCATACCCTACGGCCTAAGAAATTCCAAACATCTTTTTCAAAGATTGACAAGTGATCTTTTTATAAGTCTCAGGTTCGTGCTTGCTTATACTGATGACTGTCCAGTTGAAAGTAAGGATAGAGAATCTCATCTCCAGCATCTGCATCTTGTTTTCTAACGAATTACGGAATTTGGCAATGTTGTTCACATACAGAAATTTCGAATTGAAGCCGACTCCCTCGAAGTTCTGTGGTGTACTATTGATACTCAAGGTATTTTCCGCTTAAAGGATAAAATAGCAGTCATTTTGGATCACGCAGAATCCCCCGTACCCACGCGAATATGAACTTTTAATGGACTAGTAATTTTTCAAGTTCAATTCGTACTGAATGAGGCGCGTTCAGGTACTGTGGGTCCGGCACCGACGTCTAGACCTTACAGAACTATTTAGCTTGAGGATTTATTTATCGCTTTATTTCACTATCTTCCTCTAAATAGGTAATGATCTGGAATCCAAACCTCAGTTCAGGAAGTTTAAATCCAAAACAAGTTATCTGAGTAGGTAACAGTTCTTTTATTAATCATAAACATAAATAATAATAAGAATTTATTCTCAAATAACAAACATGTAACAAGAGACATGCTGTCCTGGGAGTAAGGATTTTACTTTCCTTAGCACTAAGTTAGTAGTAATACGTATGTTCTCTTAGCCGTTAGCTTGCTCTGGGTTTGAGTAGCACTCTGATCATGTGGATACCTTGTTTAACTGATCGGTGAAGTTTGTGCTGAAGATCTCAACCTTCTTTGGGTTGATGATATCTTCTCCATTCGGACCTTGTGTTGTTAAATCATAAAGTTTGAGTCAGTACTTTAGTCTCAGAGAACTAGACATTTATGAGTCTAAATAATTATAATTTATTCTTAATTAACTACAAGTTACTAGAAGCATACCATTTCGCAGGCAAGGTCAAAATTTCAAAATCGCTAAAATATTTTCTGTAAAAGGTTGTTCAGTTACTTATATATTTGACAGGATACACTGGCTTCATGTAGGTAGCTAAAGTCTTACACATTAAACTATAAATAATGTTACAGAATCTGCAATGTATAGTGCTGTAAATGTACAAAGGTCTGGTTGATATTCATCAGCTAATGATTTCACATGTTCTTTGGTAGGGTAACCAAGTCTACTGCAAATATCCAGACTAATATATCCGGATTGGAATAAGGTTCTGAAAAAAGAGAAATAAAGAAAACGGGACGAGGAGCGGAACATAAAATATTCTTGTTCAAAGCCGAACAACGGCTTTGCACATACGTTTATGGATAAAACAAAGGTATGTTTACTCAGACTTTTTTAATATCATAACAAAAACTAAACACCTGCACTAATGTAGGTTAATGAAGACAATTCAGTAGTGAGATAACTAATGGGAAGTTAGTCGAATGAATAGAGGAAATTCAGAAGAACCAATTTGTTAGTAATAATGTTGATTTACAAATTATAATGAAGAGGCTCAGTGATATAATGTTTTTATTACATTTATTCTTTTTATTTTTAACTCTGAGGCTCAAGAAGTTATGAATGAGCTCTTTTTTAGTATAGTTGTCCAGACCAGCTTGTAATAGGAAGTAAAAACCAGTGCAAAGTTACAGACATGGGTTGTAGACGAGGTTAACAAGGTAAAGTAACATCAATATCACTGATTTGTTACATCCTGCTATATCTTAAGGAGCCGTAAGCAAACAAAATGTTCTGCCCCACAGACA